CAGTTTTCGATCATAAACAAAGATTCAATCCAGGAACATTCATGAATTCCGGAAATGGAAGCGCATACAGATTCATATTTGAAATGGAACCTAGTTTTAGACAAGAAGTGTGACGTTGGTTGACGTATCGCAATACGATATAACTCTTTATCTATAAAAATGAAACATAAATAACTTTACAGATATTGAAAATCGCCATAGTGCTAACTAGAACGCCATGTACAAACGGTGTACAATATACCAACGAGGGACTCATCAACAAATCAAGCGACTGCCTATCCAATCGATAACAAACGTATAAATACACGTGATAAAAATACTCAAGAAAGAAACTATGCATAATATTCAGAACCAGTACTTACCGCATGGAGTGAAATCAGTGAGCACGACCTTAGAGGCAAAAATGTAGATCAAGTGACAGATCAAATGAGTATCGCGGAAGGCAACAGCAGTAAGAACATACGAAAGATTGATTATGAGATTAGAAAAGAGAAATGCGATTTTCTCCGCTGTGTACAACAATAACTCTACAATAAACAAAACTAACTACATAAAGCCCACCATGTCGGATCAAATCCGCGTATACAAAAAGAAAAAATTCATTAAAAACGAAACCTAATCACTTTAAATGTAAGGTCATCTGAGTGAGCACTTTGTCTCTTTTCTACAGCTTTGCTGACTGAATTCGATTAACTACAGAAAGACAAGCAATGTGCAGTGCTCTCACTGGGGAAATGATGACTTTAACTGGGACTGATGCACGAATCAAGAAAGCAACATGAGCGCATGATCAACTACATCTCCATGGAAAACCCTTCGGTACCCATCGATGCAAACACACCTGCTAACGGCTCGAAATCCGAATTCACCACGCTCAATTTCGACACCAACGACTGTGCCGCACGAGCTATAAACAAATTAAAAATTAAAGATAAATAAGCCTGTAGCATAGCAAAGATGAGTATTAATATGAATTCAACGAATTACCTATCTCTGCATGAGAGCTGTTGGCATTCGCGTCAATTAGCGATCGGTCACTAGCCCACTGCTGGGCTAAATTCTCGTCATCCGCTATCCTATCACAGGTTTCCAGGATCTGCAACAGTAGTTTTGTAAATTGAGAGGATAAAAGGATAAAGCATTTGCCGTTGATCAATCCCTTTTTGGGATGCGGCACGCATTCTACTTCCATTTGTACATTCGTAGTGGCGTTTGAATGCGATGTGGCCTATACAATGACTTGCGGGGGCCAGCCGATGTACAAGTCAGTGTTTTTATCCTCCCAGACAAGTCTGGTACCAATTAACCGACCCCGGAGGGATGGAAGGCTTGGTTGGCCCGGGCGACCCAGGATTTGATCCCCGGACCGCTCGCGTGGTAAGCGCGCCACTTGTCACTACACCACTTCCGCCCCAATTTAGTGAATTAACCTAAAGAGATGCAAAGGTACTGAGCAAAAAGGATCTTTTGGAGTTCTCCCTCTGGCAATAGATCTTCAAAGTGTTACACGATATACAGCCATGAGGAAAGGAAAGAAAAATGAAAAAAGCTCAGTCAACTAAAAGAAAATCTTCAATCTACGTGTTTATCATATAGCGAATTTGGACAAGTAAAAAGATAGTGAGTGGAAGAGAAATAAAAAAATGATTAAATATATAGATACATGAATAAAGCTTATGTGTACAAGAAAAGGAGTGGATCATAGATAGTTTATTTGGATAGTTTCAAGTTGATTATTCAGCTGAATTCGCCGCTAAGCAATAGTAGCTCAGCATCTACCTCTTAATTGGATGTTATTTTGCAGCTTTTTATAAGACCTACAGAAATTACCTGCAGCAAGCAAGGTGTGTCCTCTATGAAATGTTCGTAGGATGCTCCATTAAAGAAACTGGACTATTTCTGAAACTTGCAAAATAAAAAGGGAGTTGTGAAAAATTGCTATCAACTAAAGAGTAACACTTACCGCGCAAAAAGAGTTACAGTTTTCTTCGCACTTTCATCACAGAACATTACCAAGTTGAGAACACGGAAGCATGCCACCAATATATTGACGGTCTCCCTACGGTTCTCATCCTGTAATACCAAATTTAATAAAAGAAACATAGCAGATCACGATTAGACTTACAGTGGCTTCTGCTCTCGTAATAGAAATCACACTGAAGACAATCCCAATTATATTTTCGCCTTTTTTTCCTCGAGTATAGCATGCGCTATCGTTGCTCCCCAGCCAGCACAGCAGCTTAGTAAAAGGGTAATCAACTGGAAAACAGCAGATCAGTATCAGATGTGGTGTGGCAAACTTTGAACAAATTAGAAAACACATACTCGCAGGACACGAGCGCGGATACACGAGCTCCCACTGGACAAAAGCTTCAGCAGGCAGGTTTGAAATGACTTCTGAATAATTGTAAGCATCAAATATGATAATACACATCAAACGTATAAGATAATTTACTACCTGTGACAGACATGCATCTCGAGCCTTGGTCACCTCTGGCTTTAATGGCTCCACAATTAGCGAATTCAAACACAAAAGAATGTTATCCACCAACTCTTCCAGCATATTTCTCATTTCCTTTGTTTGACTCCACTGCTCGAGACTACAAAGTTGGTTCTGATTCTTGGAGAAACAAAACTCGAACTAAAAAGCAAAAACTCCATTGGGATATTGGAATAGTCATAATCTTCTAAAAATATCGGAAGGCATTTGGCCCACTCTACTGAGGAGTCTCTGAAGTGTCCACATTTCATGATATCACATTTTGGAGCACTTAAGCGAATTTTCTGAGCCAGTTGGCAAGTCAGCGCTAGGAAGGTGACACTTGTTACAATTTCCACATTAGCAGAACGCGATATAAGTATGTAGTAGTATAATTGCGATATCACTTGATCGCAACGATCTTTGTGACGCTGTTGATAGAGGCATGAAGGATATTCACGCCTTCCTTCGAGAGTTCCCGTCACCGCCTGCGAGCAATTCAACTTTCAAATCAAAAGTTAAGGCAGGGCGGTTAGTTGATTTAAATGTAACCCCAGCTGGTCATGAGTGCTGAGCACGCAACTATAGAGTAACGCGAGGACATCATTGACCGCTTTTGCTCTACGGTTTGGCATTTTTCGCATAGAGGTTTCGTGCCCCATGTGTTGTGAAGGGTGCAGGTACCTCTAAGACTCGGTGTAAGAGTGAAATCCTTACCTTGTTGACTGGTCGATTTGCCATGATATTTACGAGAAACCCGGAGCTATACCGTCTAACGAAGAGATCACGGTCGTTTGACCTACACAAAAATGTCAAGCACCCTGAAATCACAAAAACGTATTCCAGTATTGGCCATTTTTCTTCGAGAAAAGAAGAGAAACAACTCGAATTTGATCATTCTCGAATCAATTTTCTTCAATCTCACAAAAAAAAAAACATAATTATCTCTTATAGTAATGGAGGTAGAGACCTCTACAGGGTAAGCCACCAGTCACTGACAATGCCTTGTAATATTTTAATAGTTTACACACCTGCCGTATAGAAACCCTCAAATCCTGATCATCGACGGCCTTCACGTCACTGGCCAAGGCAACTAAGTGGATACCCTCTCGAAGAACATCCGTTGATTGATAGAGTCGCTCAGTAGCGATTACTCAACTCTGTACAACTCGAAAATCCTTGAGAAACTATCTCGTCTGGAAACACAAACCTGCAGGCCTCCCCAACGAACGAATAATTCCGCAGCAGTTTGACTAGCCATTACCACGTTAAGCAAGGCAAGAATACGATAAAGTAGCCGGCCCTGATCTCGAGCATTGTCAGCTAAGGCTAGCAATCCACCCTGTGTAGAGCCAATGAGCAATTCGATGAACCGACCGCCATATGACTGCACAATATGCTGCTGAAAATCAGATATTCAATACGAGATATAAGCCTTTCTTCGAAAGAACCAAGCATGCAAAACCGGACGATGGAAATTACTTTAGCATTATTGTCCTTGCGGGCAAGAAGTTGAAGCGAATGAAGCACGAAAAGCGTTCGCTTTCGATCTGGCTTTTCCTTCAGAATATGAAGCAAAGCATCGAGAACCTGAAACATTCGACAAATTGTATTCAAGCAGGCTTGCAGCAGTACGATTCATGAACATTCATATATTAACTTACTGCTCCAGGCTGGATTTGCTTAGCATACGTTATGCACTTAGCGCCCTCTGGACCATTGTAATCGAAGAGAGTATGAAGAGTAAGGGCAGCCGCCCAGTTTAAATTCACTCTGAATGAGAATATGTTGAAAAAACAAGGACCAAGAATGCCAAAAAAAATTAAATTAAAAAAACATACTTGGCAAAATGAGCTATTATGTAGATGAACTCTGACGTGTTTTTGTCGGAAGCTACATGCATTACTACTCTCAACGTCGTCTGATTTCGACTCAAATAAAAAATTGTGTTGAGCAGTAAATTACTCGTTTGGAGGGAGTTCTGCCGACGGAACTGAAACAATTTTTAGCTGTCATCGCCTTTCGCAATTGTACATATTCATTATCAAGTCACTCACATTCGGATCAATCGTATTCTTGAGTAACTGTGTAATAAGTAAAAGCAACTTGTGTACACTACCCATATCCACAAATTGAAGCATATTCCGTTGAGCATAATGACAGACGCATTGGATGATTTTAAATTGCTAAACGAGTGAAAAGCAATAATCCATAATACAGTGAACTCAGTAAAGACCCATATCTTCTCTCACAAACCACAGTCATTCAAACTATCTTAAAACCTACCTCATTGCTAAAAAAGTTATTAATAGAGTACGCAATATTTCTCCGCACTTCCTGGATCGTAGCAGGATCCACCGGTTTATCGATGACACGGAGGGTATAGACGCAGAAGATGAAAATCTGTGATTTCGCGGCCGCCGCTGAAGATACCATTGATTCTGATGAATAAAGATTAGCAGTGTAGAAAGCCGAGGTAAGAAAATACCAATTCAGTGAGCTGGGATTCTTGTGGGCAAGGTGCTGTGCTGGCGTTCAGCGTTGTTTGCACGCTCATCACAGAAACAAGGTCATCTTGCATGCTCACATGAGGATCATTACAGAAGGTGAGCTGAGGAACCTAAAACGCAACAACTCATAAAACAATTTGTTCACTGGATTTCTTAAGCAGCAATGGGAATAACTTACTGGCTGAGAGCTTCGGCAGATACTGCACTGTATAAGGTCCACTCCAACCACTGACTAGTGGATCTGTCTTAGGAACTCGAACAGGTAATCGCGGGGTAACATGGAGAGGTACAGTTATGCTGCCTAAATATTTAAAACTATTGTAAAAGTAGAAAATTTCCCGACGGAGCGAAGTAACAAGCCACAAATGGCTTCGACATTATGAGCTTTTGTGGAGGAAACCTACATATTTTGTCTGCAAGCTGGTGGATACTGCTGCATCATTTCTGGTTTTGGATAACGTGAAAATTGAGAAGTCGAAGCAATCTGAACTACTGGTTACTGAAACAGCAGGTTCATAGAGAAATCAAGGACGCAGTGTGAGGTTACATGAATCACTATCAGCGGGTTTGTTTGACCTCAACGGGAAACGAAAATGAGATAAGCATCCACGAAAAACAACAATTATTCAAAGATTACCTGCTGGTCATACGCTCGCTGTGCATCCATAGACAGCAAAATACGTTCGTGCTTGTTGAGCCGTTCCGAATGCTTCGAAACGGCTGTGAATCGATGCTTGGTATTGAGGCTTCTGAAATCAGCATGAGTTTTGACGGATTCATAAACCACAACGAAGTAGCCCCATTAGCAAAAATATGGCAGAATAACGCCATCAAGCACACCTTTCGAAAAATAGAAGACCAATAGAATTAAGAGTCTACCTCACAAATCATCAAAACAACCATATGGAAAGAAAGGAGCAGGGAGGTAAGTTTACGGAGCCACTCCCTGGGTCAATATGTGGAAATCAACGAAAATATAACAAGAAATTCATAGAAGATGCATGGGCTGAATCAAGACAAAAAAATGTGTTCATGAGAAAAATACGGAAATCCATGACCGGTTCAGTGAATCGGTTGAAAATCGAAGAAGTTGCACTCCATGGAATATTTCGGAACAAAAATGTTCCTGATAAATGTCCTCCTTGATCAAAACATGAGTGCTTTGTATAGACCACGGTCCTAACCCATCCCTTACCGAAACGACATACTCGAAGACTAAAGTCCAAGAAAGAAGTAAGGATGGTGTGAGAGGAACCGAAATTAGCAGTTGTTGAGGGAGGAACAAAGGAATTAAAATAGAAGAGAAGCATTATTGAGGACGAGAAAATTAGAAAAGTAGGGCTTGTAAAGAAAAGAAAACGAAAATATGCGTAGAAAAGGAAAAACCAGCCCAACAGCGAACTCCGGTATCACAAGTAAAACGAAAATAATGAGAGGCACAGCACACCTTTCAACAGAAAACTTCACGGCTACAAGAACTAACACAAATTACTCGTAGAAAAATACAATGTGGTGCATTATCATTACCTTATAACGGAGCAAACTTCACCAACAGATAACTC